TATTTGTATTGCAATTGACATAAATCATGATAACAAGCACAAAACAAAAAGAGGGCATGTCATTTGTAATATAAACCAGCATGTAATTCACCTAAAGGCCTTAAATACAAAAAATGTGGAGGTACAATTCGTAATGGCCAACAATGCAAAAAATGGCCAAAGATACCAGTGTTGCCTATACAAAAAATACTGAATCTACAACTGATCATCTTCATTCAAGCTGGCCTTGGTGGCCTAAACCCAAGTGTGGTCATGAAGGCCATTCAAGAAAAAATACATTTGGTACACTATATTTGATTGTTACCACACTTGCAACAAAATTACAAATCATCATCACACCTACACAAGCACCAACTATGACCCTAGCTGACCAACCAACATGCCTAATTTCATTATCCATCCTATCTAACTCTGAAACCATCTTCAGGTAGAGCTCATTCAGCTTCCTTTCCTAGTCATTAATCTTCACTTCTTGCTCAATAATCTTCACATCTTGGTCTTTCAGCTTAAAATTACTCACTCATCATCATGTCCACATACTTCAACTTGAAATCCATTTCAGCAACTTCCAACTCCAACTCGTGTATTCTTCCCTCTTCAAGCTCCAACCTTTCATTACATACGTCATCTACTTGAGGTTGTTCTACCCCCTATTGAAGTACTCCCACTTGAGCCCTCATGTCAGATGAAAGATTCATCTTCTCCTACGCCCCAGCAAATTCAGTAAATAACTTTTACTCTCCTCAATTTTCAATCATCAACGTGCGGAGCTTTTGGGGAATTTGTTGTTTAAGGTTGATTTTGGCTGATTTAGGGTTCTGAAATTGACAAGGACTACATTGGGTCACTTACCCTTTCGATGCTAGGGTCAGCTGTCCAAAACTCCAACAAGACATAAGACATGTTCAAAACGTCGTTGTATTACTTCCACGCTGGACTACTTAACAGTGACTCAGCAAACTAACGGTCTACCTGTGCTCCGTTAGTTGGGCCGTTCGATGCCAACTAACAGAAGGACAAACGTGACACTATTTTTCTAAAAATAAGGACCAACATGAGCCTTTGTTATTGTTGGAGACCAAAATGGACTTCGTGAAAATTATTAGGAACGAAAAGGGTATTTACTCTATTTACTAAGAGGGCGACAACAGTTAAAATTGTCTTCAAATTCTTTTTTTTAGCATGTCTTTGAACATCTTCATGAAGGATTTTTTTTTTTTTTTTTTACATAAAGAAGTATTTTTTTACTCTATGAAGGTTTTCTTCTTTGTTTCTTTTTGATTTTGTTAGTCGATTTAGTACATATTCTTATTTGTTCTTCAATTTGTCCATCTCATTTTTAAGAATATATATTAAATTAAATGAACCCTATATTTAGTTTGTTTTGCGCCTCGATCTCAAATAAATAGTAAATGGGAAAAAAGTTTTCGATGTTACTTTATATAATTTTGTCTAATGTTCATCGAAACAACGTCGTTTTGGGGTTGAAAAATTAAAAAATTAGAATGATAAAGACTATTATAACCCTAAAATAAATTAAAATTACAAAAGTACAATGATTTCCGTCCCAAAACGACGTCGTTTAGATGAACATTAGATAAAGTTATCTAAAGTAGCTTTAGAAAAAACAAACTCATAGTAAATATATCAGGATACCAAAAAAAAATAGTAAATATATAAACATGTGATGCTGTTACCTTCAATTTAAAAATAAAAATATTATAAGCAGTTTCGTACCACCAATATATATATATATATATATATATATATATATATATATATATATATAGAGGTATGATCATTTGACGCAAGTGTCAAATTTAAAGTTTGACACCTCATCTGATAGCCGTTAGATAAAAAAAGATTAACGACTCTGATTTGTAAGCATGTGATACCATTGATCTTTTTTGATCTAACGGCTATTAGATGAGGTGTCAAACTTTAAATTTGACACTGGTGTCAAAGAATCTCACCTCGTATATATATATATATATATTAAGGTATAACTTTTCAATGACTCATGTTAACAAAGAAAAAACAGATACCAGTTCGGAATTCAATTCAGATAAAATTAGCCTCTTATAAGCTCGTGTTTGACGCCAATGTCTGGATAATAATTTTTAGGAGTTTTTATTTTAAAATGATATCTTAAATTTGTTTAATAATAACGATTTAGATACTAAATTTTGAGTGAAGTTGAATATGTACATATGTACTCAATCTTATTGATAAATATGAATATTTACTAATGTATGCAAGTTCATTTATTTACCCTCAATGACACCAGATTCATTTATCTATTTTGTAATAAATTAATTGGTTAGGCTTGATACAAGATGCAAGATATAAGATAGGAATTACCGAATCAAATAAAACCTAACTTATGAAGTTAATTTTATGGGGAATATTAATATCATGTTACATAGGAGTAGTTCTCTTATGTTATAGAGATAATTTAAGTGGAGTCCACCATTAAAAAGCAAAAAAAAGAAAAAGAAGGGATGCGATTTTCAAAATGATAGAAAATGAGATAACTACCTCGTGTAAAATGAGAGTAGTATTTCACTAATTTTATTGGATCTTCATTTTATTTATGTTTTTTACTTGAGATTGTTGTTTTTGGTTAAGTGGTGTATAACACGATATTTAAAAATATAATAAATAATTTATGCAATATATTTATTTTTTTTGGAAAACTTTATGCAATATATTTTAAAATTCACAAAAATATATTTTTGATCTTAAGAATATTTCATGTTTTAAATATATTTTATAAGTTTTATAATAAATCTGAAAAATATTTTTAAAATTTTGTAAAGTTCATTTAAGAAATTAAAAAAAAAAACTTTTCAAAATAAGCAATTTCAAACACATACATAAGATGAGTTTTGTTATTGAGTTTATTGGTGGAAAAGGTAAACTACTTCTTAAAAATGTTTATATTTATTTGAAAGAGGATAAATCATGATATGATTTAATTTTAAATAGTTTAGAATAATAAAATTTTATTCGATGGAAATTCACGGTATAATATTTTTTATTCAATATTAATTTGTTCAAACACTATTGGAATGAATTTTTTATGCCCCTTGAATCAATAATTATTGGTTACAATATATCAACGATTTGACATTAAATGACTTGCAAGCATGCCATTTAATTTTTTGTTTAAATGGCGTTATATTATCACTAATAGTGATTTAACATCAAACGACTTATAAAGCATACTTTAACATGTAATAAATAAATGTCATAATCAATATTATAAGTTCACATTAAATAACTTATAAGAAAGAGAATATAAATTGATGGTCAAAATATTCAACTTATTATATGTATGGTAAGTACTTAATTAATGACGATTCGTGTAAAATAACAATATTTTCTATCTTGTAATGATCTATTCAACATCGGGAAAAAAGAAAGAAACATCTATTCAACATAAACATTTCAGATGTGTCTTCCACAAGTTTTTTTTTTTTTAACTCACGTTATCAATTATTAATGAGATTAATATTTATCGTATTATGAAAGATAATTTTATTTCTTACGCACACATAAAACTATTAACATAGGTCTCATGTGTGGCCATGTGAGAAGGAGAAAAAAAAATGTGAATTCCATACACATTTACGTGTGTATAGAAGATAAAATGTATCTTCTACAACATGAGAAACATTAATCTCATCATTAATATATTACTCGTGTTAATAATATTATTACTTATTAAACCCATACCAATTATTAACTCAATCAAGATCCAGGATTAATGGTCAATAGTTCAACTAATAAGCTATTTGTAGAACCGATTAAATTTAATTTATATGAAGTATTTAACAAATATAATAATATGAATATTATGTCAAACAAAATACATTGACTTAGTGATAAAGTTAAAGTTTCCTTATCAAAGGATCAAAGCCTCAAGGGTTTAATCCTTCATGGGTGTAACTCTTACAATAATTTGCATAAAAATACAAAAATCAATTCGATCTTAAAATTGGCACGGATTACAACTACTTTCATAATTTGTTAGGAGACTTGCTAATTGGAAGAGTAATTTTAGTCGTGGGAGTGTTTAAGTGATTATCTCACATTATACGTATAGTTTATAAAGATATCTAAAATATCTGATTCTAAGAAAAAAAAAACTAGTTTCATGATAAAGTTACATACTGTTGTATTAATACTAGACTAGTAGCCTTGTAAAATTGAATAAAATCAAAGTAATACTTAACTTAAAATCTTTTGTTGAGAAACCTTCAAGGCCAGAGAATTGAAATGGTCCAAGAACTCCAAATGGAAGCCAAGGCAATAATGCAATGCACTCAACCAAGAAGCAGAAGAAAGAAAGAAAGAAAAAAGCAAAAACAATTAGCATTGCAATTTTCTCGCGATTGGCGATTCTGATGTCGTGTCGAGTCGTCAACAATCAACGAGTAATTTCCATTTCGAGCCAATATAAAAGTAACATCATATCCAATAGCTGAAGGCTGATAAACCTTAAAAGAATGATAAATGGGGTTTAATGTGTCGATATAAGCGTGTGTTCTTTTTACTGAGTTACATGAAATATGATCGGTTATATTTTGTGCAAATATGAAAAGTTATTTTTTTTTTTTTACTTTATATATCAACGATGTGATTCAAAAAAAAAAAATAACTTTTTAAATTTACATAAAATATAATTGGTCATTACTCTGTGTTAATCATCTAAAAAACACAAACTTATATCTTTTAAAATAACATTTCTTTTTCTCATAAATATAACCGGCTCCTTTCAAAATTAAAATAGTACGGTGATTCGGTATATTTTTTATAACAGAAGGAGGGCCTAAAGCTTGGGAATATTTTTTCCCCCCCTATCCACTAAACATTACGCAACACGGATTTCAAAGTAAAATAATATGCTAGATTTAAGGAGTGCATTGAGGTCCGTGGTTTTTAAGTTTACCTTGTTTACATTTTCAATATGCGGTAACTGCATAGGTTGTCTTGTTTTGATCGTCTCCTAAGAAAGTGTGTGTGAAGTGTAAGACTGGGAGGGAGAGAGAGAGAGAGGGAGATTCATGGGGAAATCTAGCTCCTGCTTCAGATTGATCACATGTGGCGGTGATGAGGCGGAGAAGGATGATCACCAAGTAGTATCGGAGGTGAGGTGTATGATAGATTCAGAGGTTTATAAAATGCTATATTTTTGGCAACTTCTTATGTGTGTGTGTGTTTTTTTTTTGTGTGATCCAAGGATGTTTTGCTGTCGTGATGTGAGGACCACGGTTCTCATATGATTCCTGCATTGATGAATTAGTTGGTTCATGTTTTGTTTGTTTCCTTTTTCTTTGTTTTTTTAATTGTTTTCATTTCATCCATTTTGCTTTATGGGATGCTATCTGTGGTGTATTGTGAATGTCTATGGTTCTTTCAATTTTCCAATCTTGAATATTAATTTATTTTACAACCTCCGGTTTAGTCTCTCACAAAGCAAAGGAAGCGTACTATTTTTGTTTTTTTTAATTCCTTTTATTTTGTGAATTTCATGACCAGCAATGGTTGTTGTGAAGCTGTTGATGCTATCTACTGTTCATTTTTCTTGTTCAATTTTACTATTGTTTTCCTTTATAACAAAATAATGCATTTGTTTGTTTTGAAAATCACCATGCACTTTGTCACAATACTCGTTTGTTTCCAATGCTAGAAAATGACACCAAATCTGATTAATATGAATTATTCTTTATACAAAACTCTCAAATTAAATTTATGGGCATGAATTACAAAAATCCTTAGGCTTATGAGTTATGGCTTTTGATGTCAATTGCACAATTTAGGATCGTGCTGTTTTTCTTTTTCGTGCTTAGTTGATATAAACTATAGTTATCTGTGAGACTATGAGATCTATGCTTAGTTGATATAAACTTAATTATTTGCAAGATTATGAGATTTATGGTATCAGGTTTAACTGTGTGTTTTATTGGATAAAGTTTATGCATAGATCGAGTGAACTCAAATAGTTCCCACATTGCACCCTCGTAAATTTTGTTGGATAATTGAAAGATTTATTGTGATGCCTTTGACATTATGAGATGTCACAAGTCCAAGAAGCATTATTCATTTGATCGTTGAAACAGAATTCATTTAGGAAATATTTATTGTATTCATCATTTAATGTCTGAGCCTCTTCAAAGATCCACCATTAAGATTTTGTATAGTTGCGCATGTTTTAGTCTCCTGTACTTCCTACTAGTGCACACATGTGCAAACTTTCTATAGGAAAAGCTAGACTTAGTAAGGAAGGAAAAAATAAATTATAGTCCTGCTTTGGAAGTTGTATGAATTATCACTTGATTTCTGCTTCTTTCAGAGAGATGATGGAAAAGGTGAATATATTCAATAAAACTGCAGCTAGGAATGAAGTCAAGGTCCCTACATTTGTAACACACTTTAAATTATACTAGACTTTTTAGGTCATGCTGGCATAAAGTTGGTGCTTTTGAATTGTCTCGAATAGGATGTTTGCTACAAACATATTTATATTCATCCTTTCTAGCTTGCTGAAAGAAGAGTCTAAGGTTTAATACCCTTTCCAATGCACACACATGTATGGGATCAAGTTTGTTTTCTCAATTGATTTTTCTTTAATGATATTCCAGATCAACGATTCTAACGATAAACGTGGATGGAGTTTCCGGAAGAGATCTGCAAGGCATCGTGTGCTTAGCAATACTGCCATAACTGAGACCCCATCTTCTGCAAATAAGGAGAGTTCAGAACGTACAAGCATTAATTTTCAATCAGTGGCTGAACCTAATGTTGTTGAGAAGATTTATACAACAAATTTCTCTGATGAAAAGCCCCAGTTATCCTCCTTGGCAAGCTCACAAGTGTCAGAAACAATTGTCACTGAAACTGAGGGTAAGGTGGATGTCAATCAACCGGAGTCTGTTGTTATCATTATCCAAGCTGCCATTAGAAGATTTTTGGTATGTTCTCCTTTTGAGGTTTGCTAATCCAGAATCGTCTAAGAAGAAAAAGCAGTAATTTCCCTTTTATAAATATTTTATTCTTGTTTCTTTCAGGCTCAGAAAGCACTGCTAAAGAGTAAGAATGTAGTGAAGTTGCAAGCTGCTGTTCGTGGGCACTTGGTCAGGAAGCATGCTGTAGGAACACTGCGTTGTGTTCAAGCTATTGTTAAAATGCAGCTCCTTGTGCGAGCTCGACATGCTAAGCAGTCACATTCAGAAAATCATTTAAATCACAAGGATGGCAAAAATGATGGCTCAAAAACTTTGGTATTGTTATTTAAAATTATTGATTAGCCAATGTCTTGCTTACTGGTGTAATCTATTCATTGGTTGATTGCTTAATAGCTGCTAATTGCATGCTACCATCCATTGTTAAAGTTTGCAATGCTTGTTTTGGATGATCATGATAATACCTCAGTAAATGAGAATCTCAACTTGTTTGTTCAATGCTATTAGTCATTGTTTTCTTGGGGCATGGAAATACTATTTGAAGCTTTGAAATTTTTATTTTTCTCAATATATTGAGCAGTCATTACCACTTCTTGAACCGAGGATCTCTAATCAAATCCCTACTCACCCTATCCACTTGAGCTGAGCACATGTAGCTGAGTATTTAGAATTAAATCTAGAAGCCTTTAGTGTGTCTTCCTCATTGCTGCCGGGTCTCCTTCCAGTGGGCAATCTAATATGAATTCAGAATAATGAAAAATTGTTCCATTCGTGACCTGTGTACACAATCCTATTAGCATGAATTTTGAGAATGAGAGATGATAAGATATAGTATTGATCTTTGGCCATGGATAGTAATTGAATATGTTTATCATGTGGAATGTAGAACTGTAAAGCAACCAAAACTTTCCTATCCCTGAAGCATAAAGCTGATGTGTGCACTTCTCATTCATTAAACTGAAAAATAATTAAGCTGGAAACTCACATAGTCACAAAAATGTTTCAATGTTTGTGTTTCTTGAAACATGCTGCTGCTTTATATTTTTTTTCGTTTAATAGTTGTGGTTTTGACTCTTGACTCTTGCCTGAGATTATAGTAATATTTTCATTGAGATTCATTATCACATTTGTATTGCTGTCAAATAATATGTGCTGCAAAGCATGGTCTAAATGTGCCGGTTTATTTTTACCATGGTTTAGGGTACTGAATATCATGTCACCAAATCAAATGTGACGCACAATTCCATAGAGAAGCTGCTTAGCAATAGGTTTGCTCGTCAGGTATAGTAAACATGGATTGTTTATGTTGCCTGTTTAAAATCATGTATTTGTTTATTCCTACTAAATTTCCCTCCCTTTTCTGTTCATTAAAGCTGTTGGAATCAACACCAAAAAACAAACCTATTAATGTCAAGTGTGATCCGTCTAAAGCTAATTCTGCTTGGAAATGGTTGGAGAGATGGATGTCTGTTTCCTCAAAAGATTCTGCAGAGTATAAGAAACCAATTTGTGTGTCAGAACAATCAAACGAAACCAAAGATAGCACTTATGTGTCTCAATTGGAAACAGATATTCAATCTGAAGTTTTTCTTCAGTTTGCTGACTCAAAGCCCACTGTTGGGGATTCATCTCTTCCGTCTGAGAATGAAGAGAAGACAACCACTTATGATGCTAACAACTTCAACTTTCAAGCAAGCCCCTCTACAAAAGATAACTTGGAACAGACTCCTCATGAAAAGACGATTACAGATGATGCTAAAGTAACCTCAACTGAAATTGATTCTTTCCAAAATGAAAAAATGGAATCAGATACAATTCCCTTACAGGAGCCTACTTCTTTTCCTCATAAGCCTGAAATTGATGATGAGCAGTGCAAACAATCTATCAAAACAGTTGCCTCAGACCAACTTGAGACTGAGGGAATGACATTTGCACATGAATCAAGGAAGTTCAGTAATCCTGCATTTATTGCTGCACATTCCAAATTTGAAGAGCTGAGTTTAATGGCAAATTCTGATAGATCAAGCAGTATGTCCAATCAAGTTGCATCAGTTGAATTACAAGCAGACACCACTTCAGTTGTCACTGATACTGCATATAGATCAAAGGAGTTCTTGTCATCTGAGAATTCTACTCCCTATCCTTCCAGAATTGGTGGTTCTGAATGTGGTACTGAACTCTCTATATCTTCAACTCTTGATTCGCCTGACAGATTAGAGGTTGGGATTATGGAAAATGAGCATGATGCCAAAGATTTGGTAGAAGGGATAGGTAATCCTGAAAACAAGATAGATCATGGTGTTGAGGTCAATATTTTGTGTGCCACTCCAACTTCTAACTTACCTTGCTCTGATTTGGATCAATTAGAAATTGTTGATGACATCAGTGGCAAAATGGTTCATTCAGTGGTGCTTGGGGACTCTAAAGAGCCTGCTGTTGAGACGGAGAAAAATGCATCTGACCTGCTGAGAGAACAGGCAGAGACTGTTCTGCAAGATTTTAAGTTGTCTCCGGAAGCTTCACCAGGAAGCCATATGACCATCCCTGAATCCCAAGGAACACCTTCAAGTCAGGTATCCGTGAAACCTAAAGAGAGCAAAACAAAAAAGACTGGATCGAGTAATAGACGCAGAATACTGTCTGCTGGTAACAAGTCTCCTGCAAATGCAAATCATGATTCAGGCTCAAGTGGTAGTAGAGAACAACTGCCTAAAGATCAGCAGAGTGGAAAGAGACGCAATTCCTTTGGCTCAGCAAAACTTGATCATGTTGATCAAGAACCTAGAGATAATAGTAGTGACAATAGTTCTATTCCACATTTCATGCAAGCTACAGAATCTGCTAGGGCCAAGATAAATGCGAATAACTCTCCAAGATCAAGTCCAGATGTACATGACCAAGAAACCCACGTTAAGAAGAGACATTCCTTACCTGGTGCAACTGGTAGGCAGGGTTCTCCCCGTATCCAACAATCGTCTCAAGCCCAGCCGAGCACAAAGGGAAATGGCGTACATGCCCTTAATGGTAATTTCTAAATTATAAAGAATATATTCTTTTCTAAAGGTTGCTTGCCTTTTTGGGTCCTATGACAATGACTATAAGGTGTGGTTTTTTAACTTATTATACCAGACATTTCCTTATTATTTTTAGAGTAAACACTCATTTTGGTCTTCTAAAGATATATATCATCACATTGGTCCCCCAGATATACATAAAAAATTTGTGCTTCAATAGTAATTAATGCCATGTTTCTTCCTTCAAGGATTAATTTGATGTCATTCTTATAGACCGATTTGATGGAAAAAAATTGACATTGAAGGACTAACATGATGTATTTATCATTAGAGAACTAATATGATGTTGCATATTTCTTTGGATGATCAAAATTAACATTTACTCATTTCTCTTAACAAAAAAAGAAAGAAATGATTACTCGGTCATGGGTGAGAGAGCTTGAAATAATTTTTCCTTCAACTCAATGCTTGATGACTTTTTTCTCGTGCATCTGAAAATGCCATTTTCTGCCTCTTGAAGGGTTTATTTTCTGTTCACTATCATGCCATGTAAAAATAATGTTGGAACACCATTGAATCATAAGCTCCACTGATAAGAGATGTGTGGTTGCAGTTGAGTTCTTGAGCATAATTCCCAGATATACACATTTAAGATATCAAATAGCTGCATTTTTTCTGGTCTTTTATACAGTTGCACTTCCCACAGTTGCACATTCATATACACATCTCCACACTTTCTAGAAGACTTAGAAAGGAAGGAAAAAAAAGAAATAATAGTCCTGATTTGTGAGTTGTATCATTTATCATTTGATTTCTGCTGCTTTCAGAGAGAAAATGGCAGAGGTGAATTTGACACTTGACAGCTTAAGCATGTTCACATGCCTCTACTATGGTTGATGATGAGTACTACAGTGACACACATTAGCAGTTTGTAATTCTGATTACATTTGTATTCTTTGCCTTTCTTCTCTGCCCCCCAAAATTTAAAGATGGAGTTTGGCTGTGACAGGAGGGTTCGTATATAGAATACTAGAGTGTGAATGAGATGCTTATTTATACGTTATTGCTCTCCTCACTGTGATTGTTGTGTCACATTCAGTGTGGTACGATTTGTAAGTTGCATACTACTGGTGCTTGTGATGTCACTTCATGTTTGTTAAAATGTTTTATTTGTCTGAGGCATCTACAGTTTTTTTTTTTTGTTTTTTTCATAGGTATTGCCTGGTTGTAATAAACTGCATATTCCTATTTTGACTTCTGCCCTATTTTCTGAAAGAACAAAATGTTTAAATTAATCTCTCTCTCTCTTGAGATATTTAGTCCCACATTGGTTGACGAGCAACTAATATGGAGTTTATAAGGCCTTGGACACTCTCACCCTTTGAGCTAGCTTTTGGGGTGGTGACCTCAAGGTACTTAACATGATATCAGAGCCTCACCGTCCTCCACTTTAAAGTGGAAGCACAAAAAAGATAAACCAAAGATTGAGCCTGTTGCATAATTCACGCTTCAAGCCAAGAGGGCTCTTGCGGGGGCGTGTTGAGATATTTAGTCCCAATTGGTTGAAGAACAACTAATGTGGAGTTTATAAGGCCTTGGACACTCTCACCCTTTGCGCTAGCTTTTGGGGTGGTAACCTCAAGGTTCTTAACATTCTCTCTTTTCCGTGTAATTTGCATTTCTTGCTCTGTTTTCCCCCCCTCTATAATTAAAGTTTATGGGGAATAAAAGTGTTGTATATATACATAAAAAATATATTAGAATTAACTTTTAAATGTTCTACATAATAAACTTGTTTCTGGTCCATGAGTTATGAACTAATGAGTGTTGAGTTATTCTGAATAATTTTACTTACATTTTCATTCATATCATTTGACATTACCTTAGTTAACTAGGACATTCTTTTGTTTAAATATTTAGTGATTAATATTTAATTAATATTTCATTTCATATAAATACAATAAATTATTATATTTATATTTTTAAAAAATTAGATTATGGGATGTACGTCACCATACAAGGATAAAGAAGATGTCAATCTCATTGGGAATTTAAAGTGAGATTATATATACCTACCAAAAGAGAGAAAGCCCCAAGTCATAGTTAGTGTGAGTGGAAGGTTCTACTAGCTATGTCAATCTTTATTTGCGTTATGCTTTATGTTTAAAATAGGCAAAATATATAATTAAATAAAATTTATATTTACACATAAAAAATCTTTATATTTTTGTATTTTATTCATTTAAAACAATAAATAAAAAATATGTTAGCGGAGGATAATAATAATTATTTTTTCATTGAATAATATATACTTTTTTGGTTTGCACATTTTCAATTGAGCCATGTTCATTTTTTACACTTTTTTTTGTAGTAAGAATAAAATCAACCATAATGGTACAACCATATTTTCATGTAGTCGCATGCTTTCTTGTTGCAATGCTGACTTTTACCAAAAGGATATCTGATACTTCTGTTAGTGATAAAATGAACTTAATTTCTAACCATGCTATGTATATTGTTTGCACATTTACAAGATCTTGTTTTATTGCGTGTTTCATTGATAAATAGTAAATACATTTAGGGTTCGTTTTTTCTGCACTTACTGTAGATAAGTTATCTGCAGTAAGCCAATATGACGTCGTTTTGGGACGAAAATTATGGTATTTTTGTAATTTTAATTTATTTTAGGGTTATAATAGTCTTTATATTCATAATTTTTTAAGATTTCAATACCAAAACGACGTCGTTTTGGGAATAAATGCAGATAACTTCTCTGCATTAACTGCGGAAACATTTTTTCCATACATTTATGTTGAGATATATAGTCCCACATTGGTTGTATGTGCAACTAATGTGGAGTTTATAAGGTCTTGAGCACTCCCACCCTTTGAGCTAGCTTTTGGGGTGGTGTATCCCAAGGTTCTTTATATAGTATCAGAGGGTAGCAAGGGATAACAAGATTCTCATCGTATTCATCTTTGCAACTGGAGCAAAGGTTTCTTCATAATCAATGCCATAGGTTTGAGTGTAACCTTTGGTGACTAATCGAGCCTTGTATCTCTCAAGAGTGCCATCAGAATTATATTTCAGGGCATAAACCCATCTGCACCCTACTGCTTTCTTTCCGTTGGGTCTATCAATAATCTCCCATGTTTTATTTTTCTCCAACGCATTCATCTCCTCTTGCATGGCTTGAGCCCAATTCCCATCTTTCAAGGCTTCATGTACTGATTTTGGAATTGTAATAGAATCTAGTGCTGAAACAAAGCTTTTGTGCTGCACAGAAAGATTAGCAGAGGAAACAAAGTGGGAGATAGGGTATTGAGTACAAAAGGGACATGAGGAACAAATTTTCTTGTGACAAGATCTTTTTCCTTTTCTAAGAGCAATGGGGAAATCATCAGAATCAACATTAATGGGTAACTCATCAGAAGGATTAACATCATGATCAGAAATATGAGATTCAGGAGAAACAGGAGACTCAGAAGAAACAGGAGATTCAGGACTTACCAGTGGTTCAGACGATTGAGGTTGCTGGTGAGACAGTATGGGTTGTTTCCTCCTCTGATATACCAATTTAGGTGTCAAAATTTTTCGTATCTCAGGTGTATTTGAAGGTTCTGACACACCAGGAGCAGATATAATATATCATAATACATTTTTCAAGTTGGTATCAGAGCCTCGCCGCCCCCCATTTTCTCTTGTGGCGTTTCTTAGCACAGGTAGGCTGGGCCTGTTGCATTGTCCACGCTTCAAGCCCAAAGGGCTTTCGTGTGAGGGGGCGTGTTGAGATATATAGTCCCACATTGGTTGTATGTGCAACTAATGTGGAGTTTATAAGGTCTTGGGCACTCCCACTCTTTGAGCTAGCTTTTGGGGTGGTGTATCCCAAGGTTCTTTACAATTTATAGTATAATTGTTTGATAAAACTTTTTTTTTTTTTTGTAACTGATCCTAATTATTTCTTTGAGGCGAATCAGAACCCCCGGTATTCCCTCGAGTTCGACTCTTTGAGCCGCTTATGGGACTAATCCAGAGTTCGGGTGCGAGTCCAAGAATTATGGTACTTATGCCCCTCCCTAGATGGTGTTGGTGGGATTCGAACCGAGGTCCTCTCTCACCACTCAGTCCCCATGCTACCAACTGAGCCACCACACTTGGGTATTTTTGATAAAACTTTTCTATCTTGTATTTATGTGATTATTATTATTTTATTTTTTTTGTATACATTGAGGGCATTAGCCCAAGACAAAAAATCTAAACTAGAATGAGAACCCTCTCATGGATATTAAGGGTGTCATTGAGCAAAACTTTAGAAGGGGCTGCTTGGTACGGAGACTTTCTTAGAAATCTTGGGAAAGTGGGATAGGACAAATATGTTTCCAACGTTCGATATGAGGAAATTGAAAATAATTTCAGTAATTTTTTTTTCCCATCATTCTATTTTACACGTTATATTCCCAAACAAAAATACCATCTGATATATGATATTTTTATTTTTTCATAGCATCAGTAGAGTTAACCCAACATTCTCGAAAATATTTTGGACCTACCAAACACTTTATTATAACTTATCTGAAAAAAAAAATTTCACCATATTCTCGAAAATCTTTTTTTTTTCGGTAAAAATAAATATCTCTTCTACTAAACATCCCCTAAAGATTCCGAGGAAGATTAGGAAGCTGGAGCATTGTGGTTCTTGGATGCTTGATTAGCTAGCTAGTGTGCACATGCACATTTGTTGGCGTCTCTAGAGTTTAGTTGACCACAAACCTCTTACTCTTTGAGAACCCAGGATTGGATGTCAAGAAAAATATTTGATGTTCTATTGTTTGTAGCAGAGGACTAGAGAGCTTCTAAGGTGGGTAAGGAGTCTCCTTCCACTGTAATCTTCCTTTTTTTTTTTTTGGTATAACATGGAGGTATCCTCATTCAATCTCCTCCGATCACCTTGTACTCGGGGTACGGCCTTGTAGGTTAACCCTTCATTGGAACAGCGAGTGCATTGAGCTTCGCTACCGGAGGAAGGATGAGACTAATCCCCCCATTTGAAGAGGGAGGCACATCCTCTGGCTCCTAAAGATCTTCCAAAAATTTCTTTGAAGCAGAGTTTGAACCTTGACTCAAGTAAACCCTTGAGAGCTCAACTGAGCTACCTTGGTGGTTCCACTGATGAGGTGTTTGGTTGGGGGAAAGTTTTGAGATAGATGGGTAAGTGAGAAGTGAGAATATATAGTAACCATGTTTGGTTGAGCCATCTTCTTCACTTACCCACTTAAATAACTTATCTACCAAACCAAGTTGCCTACCTTTTATCATGGATATAGCCGGCGAAATTTGTCCTTTGAGCATGTGGTATTTGTGAAAAGCAACCAATCTTTGGGGATAGGCTTTTGACCAAAAGACTTGGATACCCTCTCTTAAGTGGGTATTTGACAGCATTGTAAAGTGGCAGGCCACCGAACAAAATATTTACAAACAGGGTTATTTTCGTAAAGTTACCCAATTTTCTCATCTATATTTTACCTACAATCAAACATAGATTTCATAAAAGTTACCTAATTTCTCCGGTAAATTTTTTTCCAATCAAACAACTTTTTTTTTATATTTTTCTACCTATCTCACTTTCTAACCATTTCCCTATATATCACATTTCTCTATTATTCATAAAATTTCCCCTTAGTCCATACTCCAGGCAATTTTAAGGCCTTTAAGAATACCGTGAAACTCTGTATCAAGTAGGTTGGAGTAGCCAATAAACAGATCAAATCCACCTATCCATGCTCATTTGTCGTCTCTAAGTAAACCACCACAACTTGTTATTTTCGTTTTGTAGTTCGCAGAACAGTGAAAATTAAGCTTGGCCCATCCAAATGGTGGAGGAGTTCGGTGGTCTTGCAAAATTTGTCTGATTTTATATGATTAGTATTTGATAGAACACAGTATCCATATGCTCTTACAATTTTCATGTATCCTCATCTTTTTGGATATCTGTTCCAATTATTCACTGTTATAGTTTCATGTTGAATGTGGTTTTTGTTGAACTATATTCAGTAACACGCTTGAGTGCTATAGCAGTTTTAATAAATTGCTTATGTTGACACATAAAGCTTTATGAGAATAAACAATAGCTAAATCCCCTTAAACACCTGGGAATCTTTAGCTAAGATAATTCTAATCACTGCTGGCATTGTATATTGTAGTACTCTATTATTATATATATTAATAGTTATTCGTACATCATATGAGTATTTTAAGTTTAAGCAAAATTTTAAAATAAATTGAAAGAGAAAAGTATTTAAGAGAAAAATGTTTAAAATTATAAATAACATATATTAATTCATATAAAATAAAGTAAAAGTTCAAGCAAAATATTTAAAATTATCAAAGAAATATGTATAATTAATTTAATAGAATTTAAATTTAAAATTTAAAAGAAGGAAAATTAAGAAGTTACACGTCGATATTTAAGGAGAGGCTTAAAGAATCAAGTCATTCTTAACAAAAATGTTCTAATTTTCTAAATAAAGATAAATTAATTCACAAAATCATTAAGTAATTTAAATTGGAAAACTTTATACAAACAATGCATTAAACAAAATTCAATTTGAATTTTAAACATTTAAAAGCATTCATGATTATCAGTCGCAAAATGTATGCCATCTAGACAAACTGTTTAAAAAAAATAGAAAAAGAAAAAATGATATCAAATGATGGTAGCTTAATTGATGTGAGAAAACTGAGCAGTTAAAATAAAAGTGTCTATTTGACCCTCTTAATATTATTATTGTGAGATATTTAAAGTTTTAATGCTTAAATTCGGACAAATTTGACTAGAGTTGAAACGAATAGAATATCTTAACAGAAAAAACAAAAACGACTGAGCCTCTCAAGCGTCGCCTACGCGTTGCACTACAGCATGGGCCTTGGCGCACCTTTTCGTGAGTTGGGCTTCTTCTTTTCGTTCTCTTCTTTTGTTTCTGTGTGTGTATCACTCACCATCGAATTTAGTGTTCCTTCGTGCTGTGTTGTTTGTTTCTTCTATTGAGTCTAGGACCTTCAATTTATTGTTTAAGAAAAAAAAAAAAAAAAGAAGCTAAAATAGTTTCTATTACGAAACGAGGGTTTAGGTTTGAGAGTTAGGGTTTTCTGAATCTCCGATCCATTTCACATAGACACAGTCGAGCTATGGCCGTGGATAATCCAGAGGATGGATTGAAGAAGCTGGAATACTTGTCGCTTGTATCGAAGGTTTGCACCGAGTTGGAGTCCCACACCGGCACCGGCGACAAGGTACTCGCCGAGTTCATCACCGATTTAGGTCGATCGTCGGAGAATGTTGAGGAATTCGATGCGAAACTGAAGGAGAACGGTGCTGAGATGCCGGATTACTTTGTCCGAACACTCCTTACCATAATCCACGCCATTCTCCCTCCCAAATCCAAGGATTCGAAGAAAGAGAAAGAGAGCGCCACCGGCAAAGGCACCAAGTTCAAGGCCTTGGCCATTGCAGATGATAGGGATCGAGTGAGGGAGCTTCAGAAGGAGATAGAAACCGAGGCCAAACAGAAACAAAATCAACACGTGGATGAAGAAGATGGTTACAGAGACAGAGATAGAAGAGATAGGCGCAGAGATAGGTACGAAAGAGAAGAGAGGGTTAGAGATAGAGATGATGAAGATGAGAGAAGGGATCATAGGAGAAGAGGAAGAGATAGGGATAGGGATAGGGATGGGGATAGAGATAGAGATAGAGATAGAGATAGATATGACAGGCGCAGGAGAGATGGGTATGAAGAGAATGAACGTGAAAGGGAGAATGGTGATGATGTTGATGATGGTGATAGGAAAGGTCGTAAGGATCCACGTAGAGATAGATATGACAGGCGCAGGAGAGATGGGTATGAAGAGAATGAACGTGAAAGGGAGAATGATGATGATGTTGATGACGGTGATAGGAAAGGTTGTAAGGATCCACGTCATGTGGCTACTGAACCTGAGTTGTATAAGGTTTATAAAGGAAGAGTGTCGAGGGTTATGGATACAGGGTGTTTTGTTCAGTTCGATAATTTTAGAGGGAAGGAGGGTTTGGTGCATGTTTCTCAGATTGCTACTCGAAGGATTAGTAATGCTAAGGATGTTGTCAAGCGGGATCAGGAGGTTTATGTGAAGGTGATATCGGTTTCTGGTCAGAAATTGAGTCTTTCAATGAGGGATGTTGATCAACACACTGGCAAGGATCTTCTTCCGTTGAAGAAGAGCTCCGAGGATGATGTTTTCCGGATGAATCCGCAGGATTCAAAGGATGGTCCAGTTTCGAGGACAGGGCTTTCAGGTATCAGGATAGTGGAAGAGAATGATGCTGGTTCTTCTCGGAGACCTTTGAAGAGGATGAGCTCACCGGAGAGATGGGAAGCGAAACAGTTGATTGCTTCGGGTGTTATGAGTGTTGCAGAGTATCCAACATATGATGACGAGGGAGATGGGTTGCTATACCAAGAGGAAGGTGCTGAGGAAGAGCTTGAGATCGAGATGAATGAGGATGAACCTGCCTTCTTGCAAGGGCAGAGCAGATACTCGTCGGACATGTCCCCTGTTAAGATTTTTAAGAATCCAGAAGGTTCTCTTGGTCGTGCTGCTGCACTTCAGTCTGCACTTATAAAGGAGCGTAGGGAAGTACGAGAACAACAACAACGCACAATGCTTGATTCAATTCCAAAGGATCTCAATCGTCCGTGGGAAGATCCTATGCCAGAGTCAGGTGAAAGGCATCTTGCCCAGGAGCTTAGGGGTGTTGGCTTATCAGCCTATGATATGCCAGAATGGAAGAAGGATGCCTATGGTAAAACCATTACTTTTGGGCAAAGGTCAAAGCTTTCTATTCAAGAACAGAGGCAGAGTTTGCCAATTTACAAGTTAAAAAAAGAATTGATTCAGGCTGTCCATGATAATCAGGTGTTGGTGGTGATTGGTGAAACAGGTTCGGGTAAGACTACTCAGGTCACGCAGTATCTTGCTGAAGCCGGTTACACCACAAGAGGTAAAATTGGATGTACTCAACCTCGTAGGGTGGCTGCAATGTCAGTTGCAAAGAGAGTTGCGGAAGAGTTTGGTTGTCGATTGGGAGAGGAAGTTGGTTATGCCATTCGGTTTGAGGATTGCACTGGGCCAGATACCGTAATCAAGTACATGACAGATGGTATGCTTCTTAGGGAAATATTGGTTGATGAGAATCTCTCACAATATTCTGTTATAATGCTTGACGAAGCCCATGAAAGAACTATTCACACTGATGTTCTTTTTGGATTGCTGAAGCAGCTAGTGAAGCGTAGACCTGAATTGCGGTTGATTGTCACATCTGCTACTCTGGATGCTGAGAAATTTTCAGGATATTTCTTTAACTGTAACATCTTCACAATTCCTGGGAGAACTTTTCCTGTGGAGGTACTTTATACTAAACAACCAGAAAGTGATTACTTAGATGCAGCTTTAATCACTGTCCTACAGATTCACTTGACAGAACCTGAAGGAGATATACTTCTCTTCTTGACTGGTCAAGAGGAGATTGATTTTGCTTGCCAGTCTCTCTATGAGAGAATGAAGGGATTAGGTAAGAATGTTCCAGAGCTGATCATTTTACCTGTTTATAGTGCCCTTCCTAGTGAAATGCAATCTAGGATATTTGATCCTGCTCCTCCTGGGAAAAGGAAAGTGGTCGTGGCTACTAACATTGCGGAGGCTTCTTTGACTATTGATGGGATATTTTATGTAATTGATCCTGGATTTGCGAAGCAAAATGTTTATAACCCAAAGCAAGGTCTTGATTCTTTGGTGATAACTCCAATTTCACAAGCATCAGCCAAACAAAGAGCTGGACGTGCGGGGCGTACTGGTCCTGGTAAGTGTTATCGCCTCTATACTGAGAGTGCATACAGGAATGAGATGTCTCCTACTTCAATTCCAGAGATTCAAAGGATAAATCTGGGGACAACTACTCTTAATATGAAAGCCATGGGGATAAATGATCTCTTGTCCTTTGATTTTATGGATCCACCGTCACCCCAGGCACTTATTTCCGCCATGGAGCAGCTTTACAGTCTTGGAGCATTGGATGAAGAGGGCCTCCTAACCAAATTAGGGAGGAAAATGGCGGAATTTCCTTTGGATCCACCATTGTCCAAGATGCTGCTTGCCAGTGTGGACCTGGGATGCAGTGATGAAATTTTGACCATAATTGCCATGATCCAGACTGGCAATATTTTTTACAGACCCAGGGAAAAGCAAGCCCAAGCAGATCAGAAGAGAGCAAAGTTTTTCCAGCCAGAGGGTGACCATCTTACACTTCTTGCTGTTTATGAGGCTTGGAAAGCTAAGAATTTTTCTGGGCCCTGGTGTTTTGAGAACTTTGTTCAGTCTCGATCATTGAGAAGAGCACAGGATGTCAGGAAACAGCTTCTCACCATCATGGATAAGTAAGATATCTATCTATCCTAATTTTTTTATTTGCTTTGATTTCATTTTTGTTTTTGCTGTGTTCTACATTTGCCCTTTTTAGTGCTATGCATTAAGTTTGCACAAAATTGTTTGTAAATTAAATTGTATTCTAAATCATCTGCACTGATATTCAGGTACAAATTGGATGTTGTCAGTGCTGGTAAAAACTTCACCAAGATTAGGAAGGCTATCACTGCAGGATTCTTTTTTCATGCAGCTAGAAAGGACCCCCAGGAAGGTTACAGAACCCTTGTTGAGAACCAGCCTGTATATATCCATCCAAGTTCAGCTTTGTTCCAGAGACAGCCAGACTGGGTCATCTACCATGAACTTGTGATGACAACTAAGGAATATATGCGTGAAGTCACTGTCATTGACCCGAAATGGCTTGTTGAATTGGCTCCAAGATTCTTCAAAGTGGCAGATCCTACAAAGATGAGCAAGCGAAAGCGTCAAGAGCGTATTGAACCACTCTATGATAGATACCACGAACCAAATTCGTGGCGTTTGAGTAAACGCCGTGCATGATATGTAATTCATCTGCTTTCTCTTAATGCAATGTCTTGGATACATTTTTATGTTGCATGTACTTTTGAATGTAAAATTTCTCCTTATATGATGATTCAAATGGAAATTTAGACATATTTTCATTTGTATTTCTAGGAAACCATAAATTATGATGTAGACAGTTTTTCTTTTTACTATTGTAATTTTTTTTTTTTTTTTTGACTGACCTTTAGTTTAATTGTCTGTTTTTGTCAGGAGGTTTTTCCTTTGGCGGGGAAGTGGGTTTGGTACACAAGTTTTCATATCTTAGTATATTGGAGCTTTACATTATCTGTAGGTTCAAGAATTAAGTAATGGCCATTTAAATTTTGGCAGAAGTTTTGATTTATGTAGTACGAATATGTTTCTGACTGATATTTCAATGGTGAGAAAGCCAGATTTTGGATCAACCAAAGATTTATTGAGTTCACTTCCTTTTGGAGGATTTTATGGATTAAATTTACTGCATATTTTGTGACTTTGCTTTGTGCTTTGTTCATAACAGACTAACAGTTCAAGGCCATTCTCTTTGTCAATGAACTTGCTTTTTGAATTAAATGCTTTATCAACTTATCAAGCAATTACCCTGTTTGTTTAGTTTTCTGGGATATCAATTTCGACAATAATTATCAGACTGTTATTACATTCCATGATAATATTTATCCAATGGTGGCAGCAGAACCCATAACAACAGTAGAATAGGAAACAAGAAATCTCATGTTATACTTGAGGCATGGAATGCATCTCAATGATCACAATACTGATCAATTTTTTATTTTATTTTTATATAACAGTTTCCACAATAATTATCAGACTGCTATTACATTCAATGATAATATATATCCAAATGTGGCAGCAGTGATAAAACCCATAACAACAGTAGAATAGGAAACAAGAAATCTCATGGTTATACTTGAGGCATGGATTGCATCACATTGATTGCAATACTGATAATTTTTTATTATTATTTTTATTTTTTTCTGGTTTTGTTCAAACCAAAATTATATGTTGATTTTATACGTACTCTATTATATGAATTTGTTCAATTTCCAACCAATGTCTGACCAATGTTAATGGCAATTCTACTTTCTTGTCTTGTGATTTTGCTAACTAACTGTATAGGAGATTGTGGGGTCATGTATGAACTTGATTGAGCAGTTCATTACTGTCTGAGTATGTTATGCATGTAATTTTCTGGGTGCAGAAGCAACAGCCTCCCCTCCCTTAGGATTTACTAAATATAATAGAGGCTGTGTTTTTGTATTATTTTTGAACCTGAGCAGGGACGGAGCTATGACTTAAATCAATTTGTTGACTTTAAAATTACTGATTAGGTTGTTAATAAGTAATTAATCTGGTATTATATGGATTTTATTAATAGACAAGGATGCATTGCATGCATGTATTAAAAATAATATTCTGAGATTGCCTTCCTCAGTCCTTTTTATTTTCTGTTTGGGCTTTTGTAGTTCTTTGCTCTTTTGTTTAGGATGATTATCAACCAATAATCTCATATATGATTCTTTAACTAGACTAGAAGTCTATTAATTTTTTCCTGCCACATATACAAAGGATTTTATACTAGAATAGAATTCAAGATAGTCTTATGAAATACAGAAATAATAATAGCCATGAATTGTTCTAATGAACCTAAGTTTCATCAGTTCAAGAAGGCACTTTTATTATCTGGCATATAACTTTTTGACCATTGTAATTTTGCAGTCTTGATGATGGATTTCCAGTTGTCACGTTTCACTTTGAGGGGCTTTCTCTGATAGTTTATCCTCACGACTACCTGTTCCTGCTTAAAGTGAGTGGGAATTTGATTATTCATTTTATATGTACCAAGTTTCTGACTTAAGAAGCTTTCTGGCTGCTAGATACGCAAATAGTCAAACGACAAATATGTTTATTTTTCATATGAAAACTATACTCTTAAGTTTAACCTGTTACCTGAATTGATTTCCCCCTCTCGGAAATTTACCAGGGTATTTTATGCATTGGCTTTATCATACATGCTTATTAAATGGTGTAGTCTTTGAGTCACATTGTGGGATTGAAAAAATTAAAGAGTCTAATTATTTATCTTCCGTTCACTGTTGACTACAATGATGATTTAAGTTGCCATCTGGAGAGTTTAGCAATGCGATTTGTTTTTGAATATATATGCAACATTTTATTTTGAAAACCTTGATTTGATAAACTTGTTTCAGGTGTTCAACAATGCTATATTATTTTGTCTTCATTTTCCCCAGGAGGACATGTATTGTATTGGCTGGCAGAAAAGCGTAGACCAAAGTAAGAGTAGAAAGGATTCTTCTTGTAGGTGAGGTTTTAGAATTAAACTACGTTTATAATTTAATCTATTGACTTCTTGGTATAACTTTGCAGAAGGCATGATTTGTTCATTTAGTCCCCCTTAACTGTGTCTGATGTATGTAGGCTATTTATGCTAAATTAAGAACTTTCATAAACTGTTAGCTATTGAGTCTGATTCTGATATATGTTTTAGCAATTTTTTGCTGAATGAAGAACTTCCATATACTTATGTTTGTACCTTATACTTTTACTGCACCTGTGTGGTAAAATATGCTGAATTAATATATGCTTGACCTAACCGATGCTAGTTTTAATCATTTTGGAATGAGTGCTACTTGTGTTGGTTGACTATATAATTTACTAACTTTGAATTATTTCTAATTGCAGATTTGGTGCTGTCGAACAAATTAGTCGTATATGATCTTGAAAATATGGTCATTGGATGGACTAATTACAATTGTGAGTACCCTACTTATTTATATGCTAAATGTACAATCCAATGTTGTTCAGATCATATCACCTGGGATTGTTTCTTTTATTGCTCTTTAATGAGAATCATATTTCATCTCTGCTTTCGATGACTCCATCCCTCTATACTTCATTTTCATGTCTCTTTTAAATTTTTGAGATTTATGAATTCGAAAAAGAAAAGGTTTATAAATTTAAGAGAGCTTGGCCAAAACAGGCTTCATTTGTTGTAGCTACCTTTATTTATGACTCTTCTATTGGCTTTTCGGGTTAAATTTGTTGATATTTATGTTTACTAGAATGATGTTCTTAGCATTTCTTGTTGATTCTTTAGGCTCTTCCAGCATTAAAGTGAAGGATGACACAACTTGATCTGTATATACAGTGGGTGCACACAACCTTTCTTCAGCTTCCACCGTGTTAATTGGAAGAATATTGACGTTCTTTTTGTTGCTTATCGGCATGGTAAACATTTAATTTTGACTTGTTATCTAGAGAAATGGCATTTATTTCATTTTATTGTAATTTAATTCCCTGAATGGTATGCTTAATGCGTATAATTCAGCAATTTTTTTTTAATTAAATAATCTTTTTTATATATGCATGGTAAACTACTTTTCTAATCGATGCAATGTCATGATGAATATTGCTATCCATACAAAATTTGTTAAAAAAAAAATATTCCTGTAAAAAAGGCATATCCATCAAGTGTGCTAGTATAAAAGAGTCACTGAGATTACATCCTGAATGCAAAACTATGCTTAAATAGTTACTTTGCAAATACGCCAGACAAGCTTCAGTAATATCTATCAATGAGGATTGTCATATGGCTCGTATCAACAACCATTGGTTCAAGTGGTAAAGAATTTGTTCTCATTAAGTATGACCTGGTGGATATATCTAAAAAAATAAGGTTTGTCATTAAAATTTTCAAATTTCTCCAATATGTTCAAAAGTCGATTCAAAGTCACTTGTGATGAACGGAAACTCAATCACACCAAGCAGCTACATTTCGGAATTATAGTTGAAACTTATATGAAACACATCCTAAATAATCGTTTGTTTGTTCTATAGCACAATAATCGAATGATCCTTTGTGGTGGTTGTATCAAAAGAACCAGTACTATGGCCTGCCAAAAATGCTAAGGTAAACGTCTGAATTTTTAGTCACACAATGAGAACAGATTTGCTTATAACATTGACAAAACAGCATTATGATTATAAGCTGATAATCACACTTTATAATGATAAATATTCGTGAATGAAGAGATGTAAGTTCGGGGATTTTGTATTTCAGGAGCTCATGACAATGAAGCTGGTCAGAGGACTGGAAATTTTAGTTGAATAAATATGAAAATTTGCTGTTTTTCTTATTTTGATACTCTTTAAGCTATTAGGTATTGTTCCGGATGGCTTAACCACATTCGAAGCCCAAGGGCCTTTTAACATGGATGACCCAGTTTCGCAGAGCCCCAAACAACCTAGGCCCAAAACCCCAAGTTACACACACGTCAGCCCTACCGGTTGGCCCTAGACGCCTGTCCCAAGGCAACTCACCTCCCAAGGTAAGACACCAAAATGTCTTACCTTGGAACCCCATATGCTCTGCGGATCGCCCAGAGACCATAAGTGGAAACCGCCCTGCTGCCGCATGCTGACACCGCCCAAGAGCAGACTCTGTATCACAGCAGCACCAGGCGTGTCAGCTCCTCACAACGAATCCCAAGGAGCGTTGACCTCCAATACGTAAGCCCTAACGGATCGGCCTCCTGGACTCCTATAAATACCACCCTTGGGCACAAGGGAAAAGGATCTTTGATGTACTGTTATTATGCCCATTTACTTCCAAGTCATACTCTTACTATTTGTCTGCCATTGATATCAGCTTGCTACCTCTTGGAATAATACCATCAAGCCTGGTCTTTACCTCAGCTAGGGGTATAATCCATATAATAACATTACCCTCAAGGATACATAGTGGGCTCACAGAACTGAACGGTACAGGTGTTTTGATAGTAAGAGTGAAGGCTTATATCTTTTGTAATTATGGTATGTAGAATTGTGTCATTGGGATATTTTGTTTAAGGGCTGTAAGGATTCAAGTGATGTAATGATTCTGACTCAACTACTGGAGGAAACAGTCTTATATGTTGAATGTAATGTTCCAATGTATGTATGTAAACAACAACAATATATATATATATATATGTAGGGTCAAGATCATTTTACATCAGTGTAAGTTACAATCTCAATCTTGTCCGTTGATTCCACTTATATCTAAGGGCTCTAATTTTTTAGTAATGTGAGCCATTAGATACAAGTGGATCAATGGTTAAGATTCAGTGTAAGACTTCTAATTCTTACACCAGTGTAAGAATATCCTGCCCCATATATATATATATATATATATGAGGTAGGATCCTTTGACACCGGTGTCAAATTTGAAATTTGACACCTCTTCTGAGAGCCATTAGATCAAAAAAGATCAAAGGAGGTGTCAAATTTCAAATTTGACACTGGTGTCAAAGGATTTTACCTCTATATATATATATATAAGGACGATATTTTCTTACTATCAAAAAATTCTTACCAACCCACTACTTATCTAATCACCATTGGATTATAGAGAGAGAATACTGAAAAGTTTTTGAAGAGAGAAAAAATAATAATCCAATGGTGATTAGATAGGTAGTGAGTTGGTAGTGAATTTTTTTAGTAGTAAAAATATCCCTATATATATATATATATATATATATATATATATATATATATATAGGCATTCATGTTTTGGATAGTCACTATGGAGTTACAAAATGGTTAGTGTTCAAGAATGTTTTAATTAAAATTCTGCTTTAATAATCTTCTTGAAAGTGGAATCCTTGTGGTTGAACCTAGAACCTCTGAATCTTATGTTCCCAATTACTTAGGATAAATGGTTCAGACCAATTTAATCTTTTGGTCATAAAGGGAGAATTAATAGTTGCTTAGGATAATTTATGCACATTTGAGTATTGAGTTTGGCACCTAGTGTGCAGAATATTTACATAACGAAGGAACTTAGATTCCTAGTAAAACGAAGTTGCCTCTCTCACCCAAATTAATTTCTTAGTTACTATTACACCGTTTGGCAAATTCAAGCAGTTCAGTTCAAAATTTTATATCTAGCAATCTACTTAGCCAAAAGTCCTAAATAGGGTGTCGGTAGAATTAAGATTCTCTGCATCTAGTTTATTGTGCTTAAATATTAGAATTTTTATGTGCATCAATCATTTCCAGTTTTGGTCAGAAATAATAATGCCAGATTTGGATTTCGCTGTTCTTAACTTGGATGTATTCTGTCTCTATCTTCCTTGGGCTGTTTGAAATTGGTAAATTAAGTGCCCCTTGAACCAGAATTATTATTAAATTAAGTGCCCCCTTGTATGTAGGTAGCATGCTATTTAAATTATCTTGAGTTCTTGACTATCTAACGAGGTTTCATGTTTTGCTATGTATAAGTTTCCTCCTGTTTGATTGGTGTTCTAATGGTTTTATGATTTTAAACATCACGTGGCTAGCCAGGTTTACAATGGTAGTTCAAAGGTATTATTTAGTTTTCCACTATCCGTTTGCTTTACTGAGACTACCGTGAGTTGGATGCTGAAACTCATGTACTAAAATGAATGTCTTGCATTAAATGAGAGATGTGTACATAATCTAATTCATTAAAAGAAAAATAAAATATTAACTTCAGTTGATATATAATAATTTAAAGCAAAACTTAAGCAAAATGGATTTTTTTAGTGATTTCAACTATTTAGACAACAATTCAAGTTTCAAACACTAGTACCAAATAATAAGATGTCAGAGCAGGGAGTTTAATTCATCCTGTGAGAGTCTGTCTACCTTTCTTTGGTGGTCGTCTTCTTGGTTTCTAGTATTGTGTGAAACGTAAATTTCTTAATCATCACTTTTTTAGTGATTTCTTTTAAGGGATTATTTTTTTTACGTCGTAGGAGATAAATTTTTTTTATCTCCTGTATATATATAAAAATATGTTAAGTTATGTGAGGAAAAGAGAGGCGGAAAAAAAAAAATATAGGTCACACGTATATTTTTATGTATATAGGAGATAATTTATCTCCTACAACATTAGATTAATCGCTTCTTCTAATCCTTCTTATGTCTTCTTGGTGTTTTTGGATTCTAGTAATCTGAATTATAATTCTTAATCATCATTGTTCAGATTATTCTCTATTGGATAGGTTGTTGAATGTCTGTTGGAATACGTCATTACTCTGGAAAGTAACGCTACTTGAGATTTGCTGGAAACATTTGAAGCAGAAGATGCATATTGGATATGGACAGTGTACCGTTGGAATCTATAAGTCCACTATGTACCCTTTGAGGATAATGTTACTGTATGGATGGTACCCCTAGCTGAGGTAATGACCAGGCTAGAGGGTATTGCTCCAAGTATAAGCAAACAAATATCAATGGTGGATAACAAGTATATGGCTTAAGATAAACGGGTATGATAACAGTACATAAAAGATGATTTTCTGCCGTGCCTATGAGGGCTATTTATAAGGAAAATGGTGTGGGTTGGTGAGGCGGGGGTCAACCCTCCTTCGGATGTGCTCCCTTGATGGCAATGTTAGGCGCGGTTGGCGCTGCCACAATGGCAGCGCTGCACCCACTGCATCAGGCGATGTCAGCACTGAGCAAAGGGGCAGATTCCTTTTGCGGTGCTTATGGCGACTGCCTTTTGTGGTTAATGTCCCAAGGTGGGACATTTTGGTGCATCTTTTGGACGTGCTGCAGTCTTGGAGGTCGTGAGGGTCCACGTCAGCCCTAAGGGCTGACGCGGAACAAGGCTGAGGATTGGACCTGAGCAGCTGGCCGCTCCAGTGCTTGGGCCATCCGGAACAGGAGCCCCCCAGCTTGACAGCAACCGTAGGATGGTGCCAAGTTAAAGGCCTTGGGTGTTACCTTTAGGGCGATCACCTTGATTGATGTTGGACGAGTGACAGTTTGTCTTCAGCTCTTCCAAGGGTATTTTAGGTTTTCATTCTTCTGGAATGACTGGCGTTCTAATTAGGCGTCCTCCAAGAGTGAAATTACTCTTTTCCTCTTATCGCCGTGGCGCCAGGAGCCCCCCAGCCTGGTAACGAGCACATGTTGATGCCAAGGTAAGTAGGATTTGACGACGCCTTGTTTGGCGATGCGAAATACTTGAACGCGGGCGATTCCTTTTGGTGACAGTTGTAACTTCTTATTGGTGACGGTGATTGGTTGATGATGTAAGCGAAAGGGCTGCCACTTCTGGCACTCTTAGGAGGCTTTTCAGTTTTCGAGGAGTTGTCATGATGAGTTGCGTCCATCATTACCATTTGCAGGTATCTAAACGTCATTATTTATGGCGCATTAATGCGAAGTGATGGGTGACGTGTTTTCTTGAAATGACCCTTTACCCCATCATCCCAACCGCCCATTGCACGATGAGAGTATCATCTCACGGTTGAGTGGTGAGGGTTTACACGTGTACGAACGAAATGACCCTTTGAAAGGTGACGTGTCCT